TTTTCTCAAATAGAATTCTCAACTACCATTCCTCAGCAGCGACACCATTTTCCGATAACGCTCAAATATACTCCTTAAAACAAATGAAAAGAGACAACAGTCGTAGTCAATAAAAATACCCAACTAAGAGTCAAGGTCGAATCCCACAGAGAATGGTATATCATAGATAATTTTATCATGAAATTTGGATTGTTCAATCATTCATTTGTAGTGGTAAAAATAATTGGATAGATGATTCCACCAATTTAATAAAAGGATTCGATTATCAATTGTCACAATTAAACTAAGATTCCATAAAATTTAAGAAGTCATAAGCAATCTAAGGGTGTGAGGATCGAAAATCAATGTCACATAAGGGTAACTGTGTTGCTATATAGTGATGGACATTTATGAATAGGCTAGGTCATGTTCAATGAAGCTAATCTTCTTTCGATCTCATAGCATCCTTGCATAGAATCTCCTTTTGGTCTTGTCTATATGCCAATCTCATCAACCCAATACCTTACTCTTTTCTCTTTCGATGCAGAAATATGGCGAATAGATTCGATCCATAACCTCTATTTTAAAGCAAGGTACAACCATCAAACCTAAATTGCTAGTATGAGACTAATTACCCACTCGAATCATCTCTTTCGAGCATCGATTGGAGATCGATAGTAGGAATTAAGTTTACAACTTTAACCCATATGTTAACCACATGCTAATAAGCCCAAATTCATGTATGAACATCAGCAAAATAGAGCATATCACAATACCCACTACATTAAATCAATACCCAACCCCATATGTGCACCCCTAAATCATGAGATTTTAGCCACCCATCACAAAACCAAATAAATTATACCTTTCATGAAAGAAGCCATGTGTAACATGAGATTAAGCAATTACAAACAAATTCACTTTCAATTCAAATTGTCAATTTCAAGAACAAAGTTGAAAAACCCCAAAAAACTAGAAAGTGTTCTTCTCAAGGTAGTGTGTTTCTCTCTTCACAAAAACTTTTCTTTCTATTCCTGTGTTCCACTCGTCAACCCAAAAAAAGCTCATTTTTCTCTCTCCTTTGGGATATTTATAGTTTCGCAACATTTTACCCAAAACTGAACACGTTACCTTTAGGTGACATTAGTCGAGCTCACCGAGCTTATTCAGCGAGTCTCCAATCATGCATCAGCCCAATACCATCATAGTTTTCCTTCCGAGCCTTCAATTTTTCTCCTTGCACTATCGCTTTCGGTGATTGTCAACAAGGTCGCCCTTCTCCTTCGGGGAGTCTCCTTTTCTTTTGAGTTTGCTGACTTGCCTCGATAAACATAAGTCTTGTGCACTGTCACTTTGGGTGACGTCATGCTCACTAGGAGATTCGCCTTTCTTATTTGGAAATCATTAATGTATAGTTTGCACCTCTTCTAATATTTTTTTCCATTCTTTCAAACATTTCATCCATGCCTTCTCAAATAGACTTTATAGTTGCAATTCATCAAAATATCATCATAATAGGACATAATTAGGCATTGAGAATACTAATTATTGAGATAAATCAACTTTACATGAGTGAAAATCTACCACTCATCACCTATCAAAACAACCTCACAAACTTCAAACCAACCTATAGGAGATCTAGACCTCCTACCATAAGTAGGGTCAAAAGGAGCCATGCCAATACTTTAACCGTAGCTATTATTATATGCAAACTCAATCAAAGACAAATGATCATCCCAATTACCCTTGAAGTTAATTACATAAGCTCTCAACATATCTTCCAAAGTTTGGATAGTACGCGCTCCGCTTGACAATCAGTTTGAGGATGAAAGGCCATACTAAGCTTGACACGAGTATCGAGACCGTATTGGAAAGACTTCCAAATTGAAAGGTAACTTGGGTACCACGATCGGAGATAATGGATAGGGGTACTCCTTGCACACACCCAACACAAACTTACTCATCGTTTCTCTAGAGTCGGCATCCATAGTCGGAAAATACTTAGCCAATTGTGTGAACTTCAAAGAATAATTCTTAACACTCATGTTCCCTGGTCAAAGATTTATGAACTCAAGAACCTTCGCTTCCCTCATCTCAAGGGGAACGAAACGATCAAGAAATGCCCCTTTGAATTTCTCCCAATCAAGTGGACCCACATCAATAGCCCTCTCTTTATTCTACTGTTTGAACAAAAAACTTGAGTAAATCCCTTAAGTTAGTAAGCGACTAATTCCTCCTTTTCCACTAGTGACACTCCTATAATACCCACTATCACAACTCATCAATAAACTCTTGACGATCCTCGTCAACTTTCGATCCTCGGAAACTTTCGATCCATGAAACTTTAGTTGATTTATCCTAGTGAAGTACCTTATCCTTGTTGCCGCCGTACCTACATTTGGGTTCACAAGAGGAACGAGTTCTCTATTTGCTTGGGCCGTCATAACTTTAGCTAAGAATTTAAAAGGTGATTAAAATTCGACATTATTCACTTGTTCAACCAAAGGATCAACCGGAACATGAGAAACATCAGGCTCCACATTCTCTGACCAATTCCTTCTCACATATGCTCTCCAGAGATCTATATCCTGAAAAGCATTGAATAGGAGTTAGTAAAGGACTTTTATAGAGATGTACTCTACGACACAATTTTAGAGTAGTGAAAGAAGTGAACTTTCCTAAATTCATTATAGCCTCTTATTCATAAATGCGGTACGCTTCACATTTATGAACAAAACTTTACTTAACACGGCTTGTCAGACATCCCAAGACATTTTTTGGAACTTTATGCTTTGAATACCAAGTTTGTCATGACCTAAAGTACACCCTAGACGTGACATAGAATATAGGACTACGAGAGGCCCTACACAAGTCACTTGACATGCATAAACACAAAATAGCAGACAAAATTAGAATGTAAGTAGAGAGTCTCATATTAGAATACTTTGAAATTAAAATGGAAATGTAATCATAGTCTTGACAAGCCCATCTAATATATCAAAAGAGTGGTTGGGACGTAACCCATACACCACGTACAACATCTGGAAACCAAAGACATAAAAAAATCACATTAAAGGTGACATGGTACTTAGAGAATGAAGACTTACCATGTCTTCAATGGGAATTCAATTAACTAGTCACAAGTAGGAGGAGGAGAAACGTCGGACCATACATTATCAAACAATATAGGCACAAACATGCATTAGTACATGGAATGTATTAAGTATGGGGTTATGTATGAAAACATGATACATGAGCATATGAGAACATTAGAACATGATATGCATAACCAAGGTAAATCATGGTAAAAGCCTTTAAAAAATCATAAGTCATAAACATGGTCAATGCAATTTATAACATAATTAAAGCTTCATAAAACCTCTAAAGTAATGTAGTTCATTTTGTGGGATGTTTAACAATAACCAACATAGACCACATGAGCTATAACGTGGAATCAGTTTTCTTGCTTCCACGCCGAAAGATATGTCCTACTTGCCAAGGTAAGAACCATAAACTTCTAGCTTAATGTGGATCCACTAGCTATGTCTTTCTAAGAAGATTCCTACAAGGGCATGTAGTTAGGGACAATGAGATTGCTACTAAAGACCCGATCTCAATTAATGGGAGAGCCTCCATCTCAATGTCCTCTCAGTGCTAAGTAAAATCCGAACATAATTAGTCATAAACATATTCATAACGTCATACTTTGAAAAGCACAATTAAGTTACTAATCTAATCATAAATCATCATAGAGTAGCTCCATAAATCATGAATCATGTATGTGTGAGAAAACCTTCCACCAATCATGATTTATTAACATGTGAGAAAACCTTTCACAATTTCATTGATGCATTTCTTAAAAGCAACCTTAGATCGTAAACATATTTTTCATAAATCATGCATAACTATCATAAATCATATTCATAACTTCATAATCTTTCTTAAAAAATTCATAGTCAAATCATTAATAATGCATGAGTTCATATGAACTTGATTGAAAACTATATAATTGAATCTAAACATGCATAGGAAGATTGAAATTGAACAGTTAACTCAAAATCAAATAAGTCCCATGGAAATTGCATGAACCCTAATCAAAATTAGGTGCCTTTGAATTGGAATAATTTAGATATTTTGGGACCCAATTAATGAATGAAAATTCATTGGTGAATTCCCACATAAATTGATAAGCAAATCCTAAATGCAATGGAGAAAAAAAGAGACTTGAAGCTCGAAACTCTAGCTTTCTTCCTTGAGCTTGAGAAAATTGGAGGGGATGAACTTGGATAAGAATTGGGGATTTGAGAGAATTAAAGGGTTTTAGGTAGATTTAGTAGTTGAAAGTTAGTAATAGGTCTTTAAATTAACATCAAAACGATATAGTATAGGTATTAAATATATAGGAAAAGACCCAAATACCCTTAAGAAATAAATGTCGGAGGACTCTATGGCTTGGACCTATGGATGGTAGAATATTCTATGGACCGTACTGGTCAACAGTAGGTCAAGTTACTGGGACACAAAATTGGCCAACTTTTTACGAAACCCTTCTACGAACTGTCAAACATTCTATTGTCCGTAGACCCTATTTGTAGTCCTCAGCTTTCAGTCCAAAATTTCACTAAGTCTGGTTCAATCCTATGAAACCATCCTACGATCCATCAAACTTACTACGACCCGTCCAGTTCACTCATAGTTCAAACTTCAATAAACTTAAATTTTCCCAAAACTCATCTCAAATTCTAAGACTCAACTTCTATGGCTCGCAGACCCTTTTACGGTCCATAGATGGGACTTATCGATCACAGTACCAGTATTGAAAAACTAAACTTTCCCTTCTTAATCCAACTTTCCGATTTCTAAGCTGTTACACTGCGTTGACGGAATTCTCATCCGAGCTCCTTTACTCAAAATATTGACTAAAATCAAGTTTTGGACTTAACTTGAAATTTAAAACGTCTTATTGCACAAACTCGCATAGAAAGCCTCGAGAGTCATGCCAACCATACTAATAGCCTAAAATGACTCTTCTAGAGATGAGCTACAACTCTTTATCTGTTCTCCGTTCCTCTCGCTCAACAAGGTTTAACGGACTTGAGTTCCAGTAGCATCTTTATATGTATCGGATCATTTGTGGATTGAAACTCTCTTTTCTTTCACCTTTCCCTTTCTATTGGACCAGGTCAAGGCTGCTGTAAGCAGTTCTGATCTCAAGCACCTGTCATGGTTTTCGAGTAACTCTGATCCACCGGAAGGAGGGCTTTGGGAGAAGAGCAACTCTCAAGTACTTTACTTTAGTCCCAATACTGAAAGACATGACTGTAGGAGTGGATTTCGAAAGGAAAAACTTCGTTTACTTCCTGCAAATTGCTTATGTAAGAATTGTCAGAATTGTATTGTCAAATCATCTTCTTGAATTTTAGATAACTAATGACCATTCAAGGTTCAAAAGCTCCAAAATACTAAAACTCGCATAAAACCAAACGAATGACTAGGTGACTAAACTGTCAATCATAACGTCGCTATAGAAACACTCTTAATGATGAATTAGAGGCATCAACACTGTAATTATCCGCAGGGTCATTACAAAAGTTTTCCCCCATGATAGTCTTGAGCGAGTTAATGGTTGGAATGTATCTAGTTGTTGCATTTACATTACTGTAAACATTTATCACCCTGAACTTCTTCTTCTTTGGTTTGTAAGAATCTAGTTGTGTGCCACTTTGAATCAAGAACTCTACATCTTTCCAAACTAATATCATTTCAAAATTATATGTATACACAAAATACTGAATATAATCCATAAAAATGCTATCTTTAGTTAAACACAAACAATTCCTCAATTCTGTAAGCATCATATATCAACTGTTGAGTTTGGTTTTAGTTACTGCGGTCATTTTTAACATAAAATGTTACCTAGTTTTAGGATAATTTGAATTGTAAATATTTGTTAAGTTGTTTTGATTGTTGAGATTATTTAGCTTTTTTTGAATTTTTCTTATGTAAATTTTGTGCAGATTATTTTATCAAGTTGGCTATTTAAAGCCCTATTATGCTTAATGAGAACATTGAGAGACATTTTAATCAATACTTTTTGCTTCCCCATTTTTCAAAAACTCCAACAGTGGTATCAAGAGTTGCATTGATCTTACGGGATATGTGAAATCTTCCAAAGAACTAGCATGCCACTTTTAACCCGCATGGGCTATTTTTCCATCCTTTTAACCCGTCAGGGCTACACATTTTAACCCGTTAGGGCTACTATTTTCAATATGTGCTTTTTTCAATGCACAAGCTTTTTTAAAATAATTTTTAACCAAAAATAATGGCTAACAACAGTCTCTTTTTGAATTCCCTAAAAAAATTCACAGGTGAAAACTATCAGATATAGTCAGTGAAAATGAAATCATATCTTGAAGCCTATGATATGTGGGAAGTTGTAATGAAAGATATACCCTTAAAATCACTCCCTGAAAATCCCATCGTTACTCTAATTAAATCTTATTGGGATGAGAAAACCAAAAAATTCAAAGTCAAAACTATAATTCAAAATTTCAGTCGCGGATTGGATTTTTTCTAAAATCATTTCTTGTGAGACGACAAAAGAAGCTTGAGAATTTTTAAAAAATAAAATCTCAAGGAAGTGACCGAGTCAGACAAATGTAAATTACGAATTCGAAAAGGGATTTTGAATCTCTTAGGATGGAAGAGGATGAAACTATTGTTAAGTATTCTAACAAGATTTCTTTGATTGTTACTAAAATCAGATTGCTTGGCGAGGATTTCAAAGGCGACAGAATAGTAGAAAAAATTATCGTGAAAATTTTAGAGAGATTCAAGTTTAAAATTTTGTCTCTGGAAGAGTCTAAAGATCCCTCTGCTATCTCTATTGAAGATCTAATTAATAACTGCTCTTCAAGCACAAGATCAAAGAAGATCTTTCAGGCAAGATAATTTTAGCGAGGGTGCTTCTTATGCAAAAATATATATATGTAATTATCCTCTTTACAAATACTACAAAAGGAAAACACACTTGGAATCATTTTATTGGTGGAGACCTGATGCAATATGTGGAAATTGCAGACAAGCTGGTCATTTTACAAAAGTGTGCAAACTTAAGAACAATCTTCAAGGACAAGTTGTAGAAGCAGTAATCGAGGAGAAGCAAATTTTTTAAATTGCAGTATCTAAAGAAAAGGAGGAGCGTTGAGTTTGCTTTTAGTTACTGCAGTCATATTTTAACATAATAAGTAACCACTTTTTAGGATGAACTTGAACTTTAAATATTTGTTAGGTTGTTTTAATTGTTGAGATTACATTGCCTTTTCTCAACTTTTGTTATGCCGATTTTCTGCAGATTATGTTATCAAGTTGACTATTTAAATCCCTATTATGCCTAATAAAAATATTGAGAGATATTTCAATAAATACTTTTTACTGCCCAATTTTTTAAAAACACCAATATCAACGTACTAACTATAATCAGTATTACACAACATAGACAATTCCTCAATTCCACTAACGACAAGAAATATGATGGTGTTTCAAGACCATGTTGAGTTGGAAGGGACTTCACCTCTTCCCTCAAGTTGTTAAGGGATTATATGATGTCATTTTTTCAATCCATCCAATGAACAACACTGTTAGCTTTCATATATGATCCGCATAGAGGTTTTGGAGCCATGCCCACATTTTTCCATTTCTTATCAACTACAAGAGTATAAAACTCCAATTCTTATACTTGTGGATGCCCCTCAAACTTTCTAACTTTTGATCTCAATAATTTATATAGTCTAGAGGCTTCACTAGAATAGAATGAATAAGCAACACACTGAATTCATTTCTCCCATTTGGGAAACTAGTATCATGTTTTGTATAGATAAAGTGGGTGTTGGGAGGTAACACCTAGGGATTAACACAAGGGGTGAGAATCATCGTCTTTGAGATCCAAAAGTAATCAGACAGTAGTTTATTGAATGAAAAATTTTGGGAAAATTAAATGATCTTTTGTGATACATGTCAACAAATAAAGGATCGAAAGCTAAAAGATAATATCGTAGTACAAAAATAATCGTACAACAGAAAATGGACTTGATTGACAATTGTGAAGCGTTTTTTTTTATCATAATCACCATTGGAAGGTCCATAATCCTCATGACATGAGCGATTCTAATTCCTTCAAAAACTCCCTTTACAAGCTCGGAGCTATTGGAATTCGTGAATGTCACTTAATTTGAACAAAAATGGAGGTAGTTTTGAGGGTTTTAGTCTTATGGATTGGCTGGACTTTTATATATATATATAT